ACGGGACTCGAACCCGCACCCTTCAAAATAAAAAATATTAATATATTAACTGATATTTTCAAGCATTTATATTCTGATATTTTTATTCAACTGTTTACCATCACCTAATAAATTATTCAATCATTAATGCCAACTATTGTATTAGATATATTTCATCCCCCTTTTCTCCTCCTCAAAGGTTGATCTCTGGAATAAAACTATCCTTTGTTCCTTCCAGGTACTCAAACTAAATCTTTACTAAATTTTCTTTAAATCGGTGTAGTGGTTTAATCGAGAAGATGTAACAGACAGATAGACAGACACACTTTGGCATTGATAAAATTGCACCAAATATTTAGGTTGTTAGTGAAACGGAAAGTTCTTCAGGCGCTTTGGGCTTTTTTGAGATGGAAAAATCAAACAACTCGCGATACCGCGACGACATCTCATAAGTATTTAAATTTTAATCTTGCCCAACATCGTTAGTAGTTGCTTGGTGTAATCCAAAAACGCTCTTCGAGTGAAAGAGGTCTTGAGTTCAACCAGGATTAGCACATAATATTTAGAATTTTTATTTTCTTCAAATTTTTTTCATTCTGCTTGGATTTTTTGTTATTTTTTAATTGAAAACTTTTTAGGCTAGTGGGGATTTTCTTGAGATTAGTTATATTTATTTATTTCGTTTACATTTTGTTTTGGGATTTGAGTTTTTACTTCTGTCACCGCCATTTTTCCATCTTGAAATATGCATATCTTTAAGGATTATCCATTTGTTTCTGTTTGTAATTGTTTTATGTTAGTGTTTATTTCTCGACTTCTATCCATGTTACGTTTTATTTTTATAGCAATAGTACTTGATTTTGTTTCGCTCCATCAGCAAATAAAAGATTCTTATTTCAGGTAATTTTTAATTCACATGTTCTTAAACAAGTGGGATACTATTCTGAAATTCATACTTTTTCATTTCAAACCTCATTTTTTAAGTGTCCGTAGATCTTAAGTTCATTGAATAATTTGCAGGCAATTTAATTTATCACAGCACAGTTGGAAAATTCACGTGATTACAATATTATTAAGCAATCTCCGCGCATCCATTCTCTTTTGTTTCGCCTGCTCTAGCTTTATATGGACACTTCACGGCAATTAACTCAGTGACATTATTAAGTGAACTATTCAATTTGCTGTTTATGGGATTTCCTGCGTGTTGAACTTACCTAGCTGTTTTCCCATCATTACTTTGCGTAATGCATTCTTTAACTGTAGGGAATTTATTTAACTCTAAGGTATTGGAACGGTCTTTTTTTTAGTATTCCCATGGTTGCAGTGACTTGTTTAATGAGACTGCCCGACTGTGATTAGCAGGCTTACCTAATTGAATTGCAACTAAGCGACATTGCAAAGGAAGGAGCTTTTATACAATATCCTCTGTAGATTTTCTGGACTGAATAACTGTAGTTTGTACTACAAGTTACAAATGTTGGAGAAACAAATAAAATTTCTCGTCATTTCGTCTTTAGACCAAATTCCAAAGTTTATGGGGTTGTATTAACTAATTCTAGCTAATCACAGTCTCGTAAACAAGTGAGCGCCGAAAGTCAAAGCGAAAGAATTCGTAAGTTAAAAAAGACTTCTTTAACGAAAACAAAAACCAACTTCTAAAAACAGAACCTCTTAGAAGTAATCTTCTTTTTGAAGTCGGTTAAAAATAATCATTATATTATTATTTCAATAGAAAATAGGTAATTTCTATATAAAAATAGGTAACAAATAATGAGAATCACTAGACAATGGTTGTTTGTCGTTGTTTGGTTGGACGAGGAAATAGAAATAGGAACAAAAATAGTGGACATTCATTCATAGTCAATGAGTGCATTCATTTTTCTTTTCTCAGATCGAGTCACTATGTTTTTGTTATAAAACGCAAGTGTCCAAGTTCTTTACCCTGGGGGAAAAATCTTGGAAAGTTGCCGTTAGTACAAAAACTTTGCAGTGGACATTACCGGAATCCGTGATTAGTATTATTAAGTAATAACAGCGAATCAATACGGCACAATGATGTACCAACTTACGTGTACGTACCATCATTAATAATGTGGTAACCTTTCGCAGTTTAAAATCAATTAAAGGAAATCAACTCAGTGTCATTAGAAAGTCAAGGCCTTATCGATATTAAAATAAGTTTTTTTATTGCTGACTTCATAAACCGATAAATAATTGATGCCAACCAAAAAACAGGTAACATTTTTCTCGACAGGTTAAGAAAAAATTTGTTTTTATTTTCTCACTCAGCCTTTCCATACGCCTCCCTCTGCAAACTCACGTCTTTAAAGATGGCGACCTCAAGCCAGAATTTATTACTGTCTCAAACTTCATTGGGGCAGGCTACGTAAATCATTATCAACTTCTGAAACGAAAGGACATTGGGCAAAAATGTATGAACGCTGTACCCACGTCCGCCACGGCTTAAACTACATTCGTTTGAAAGGAATTATAGTCAAAATCATCTGTGCCAAAGCGCATCAAATTCCATCTCGGGGGTCTTTAGTTATTTTAAGTTAAATATGTACAAGTACTATAACGAACGAACATTAATGAAACGAGGGAATTAATTTAGTTAGTTAGTTCGACCCTAGATAACTGCTCAGGAATTATGGGAATACTTCACAAGGAGCATGTTATTCTGCCGCGCTAGAGTTAATCCAAAAATCCCCGCATGGGTTGTATTTTTTTAAACATTCTGTTCGTTATAGTAAATTGTCTTCTATGTAAAACGGAGCGACTACAGATTTACACAAACTTGTCCACGTTTGGGAGAAGACATGATTCCAGTTCATCCACACTAATTGACAAAACCGATAATCGTTTTCCAATATCCAAAGCGTGTTAGATAAAAATCAATCAAGTAGCAGGGAGCGCACAATCACAACGAAGCAAGTCCTTCAACCCCCGTAAACCGTTTTGAGGTGTCTCAGTAAGAGCAAGCGCAGGATGGTCGGCAGGCTTTGTTGTATATCTGGTTGTATAGTACGATATGGCATATTATTATGATAACTAATAATATAAAAAAATTGGCTAAGCGCTGGTGTCTTAGAATAGGTCTCATGTTTATTCCGACTGGACTAAAAGGTATTCATTTGACATTGTGGGTTACCTACAATGCGTAGAAATGGCGCTGCCTTGCAGCTTTGTAGCAAAATGTCAGCATTCGCCCGGATAGCGAATGGTGCGGGTCCGTTTCTAGTCCCGTCTGCTGCCTGGGCCACGTGGATTTTTTTCTAGTAAAATTTTGTTTGGATTTAAACATCTAGCAGTTAAATGCTTAGAATATAAATAATATAACTATAATTGCCATTTCTTCTTTCAAATGTTTTATATTTGTAAAGGTATTCATTTGACATTGTGGGTTACCTACAATGCGAAGAGATGGCGCTACCTTGCAGCCTACGGCTAGAGAAAATTCGATACGCCTATCAAGGCCGCAGTAGCAAAATGGTCAGTGCATTCGCCCGGATAGCGAAGGGTGGGGGTTCGAGTCCCGTCTGCGGCCTGGTTCGCGTGAATTTTTTTCTTGTAAAATTTTCTTTAGATTTGAACATCTAGCAGTTAAATGCTTAAAAATAAATATGTTGTATAAAAAATAAGTGTTCATTATTTTTTGTTATTCTAACTGACGGTCTAAATAGATTGTTTTTCTTTACTGTACCCCGTCGTCACCCCTATTGTAGGAAACAGATTGGGAATATTAACCCATTTTCTTTTTGGCACGAGTAAGAGGAACCTACTTTAGATAATCGTGTTTCTTTACCCCGTCATACCTTACTGATTTACTGAATAGAGAGTAGGGAAACTGGATAGCTCCAACCAAGCTCGTCTGCAAGCCCAGACATACGCAGCTCGAACGCGTGTTTTTGTATCAATTAAAGTTTGCTACACCAGATCGATGTGGAGATCGGTGTGGCCATTATAATAACAGTACACAAGTACAACAGTTAGAGTTTCATAAATCTTAGCCGTGTATGGGCAAGTTGAATCATTGGATGGGATGCAAGACACGTTGTACTTACCTACTACGGATAAACTTCCTTATCTCACTACGTCGTCTCATCAGAATTCCCAAGAGCGCCTCGGGTTAGTCTACGGCAGGGATGGCGAACCCATGGCACGTCACATAATATTTTGGGTTCGTCACTCATCACATAATTCGTTATAAAAAAAAGGAATAATAATAATATCAACTGAATGAAAGGGAAACAATTAAACAATTTTTGATTAAGTGTGAGCGTATTACGTATGAGTTATATTGGTGGTGTGTTTATGCCAGTGTGATTGTGTTGGTGTGTGTTGATGTATGTATGTGTGTGTGTTTTTTTTTGGTTCCTTCCTATTAGTCGTAACTGTTTCCTATTTTAATTTTAATAGATTTTCTGTATCTGAATAGCTTTGATTCAAAAGATAGGCAGAGGTGTTCTTTTTCACTTCATGCCTATTTTGGGTATAATTGGAATTAAACATATGCATCTTATTGCACAAGGTTGAAGAGAGAGCATCATATTGGCGTGACGCGAAAACTGTTTTATACCTAGCGGGAGGACATACATGATCTGTGGCGCATCGCCGTGAAAGAACTTTTATATTTGATGGAAGAGAAGCATGTTTACGTAGTATGCATTTAAGAATGAACAGTTGCATGTAGTGCAAGTGGGATGTAGGTACGAAAAAAAGTGTGAAGTAGGCATTATATGACGAGCGAACACGAGTGATCGCGACGCTACAATAACAGAAGTCCCACTGATTTTACTTTAATTTAAACGACGCATATAAATGAAACATGGCAAAGTATCTATTTTTTGTAGTAAATAAAGAATTTTAAGTTGATGGTAGTTACTTATTATTACTTTTCCAATAATCACAAGTCAAAATTATTTCGTAGCACGTTTATGATCTCATTTAACATTTAGACAAATGGCACGCAGATACGTATAGGTTCACTATCCCTGGTCTGCGGTGTTCCTGTAATTTGGAAATTCGCAGACGGTACCTACTTGCTTTGTTTAAGGAAGTTTAACGGCAACCGAACCAAGTTTGTTTGCGGTTGGAGTAGACGGGTAATTTCATCAAATTCGAACATCAGTGATCTGAGTTTTGCTGTTGTTTTCTTTTAATTAATCAACGATTCCTACCCAATGAGGTGCCTGAAGTGATCAACTGTTTAACAAGTATTTTTTCTAATGAGTGTAGTTCTACTACCATAATTATTCCTGAAGATTACCGATTAGTGTAATCGAGGAAGTTAACGTGTTATTTTACGCTGAGCGACGACGACATTTTTAAGACGCTGGTGTGGTCTCTTAAATGACTACATAATAAAGAATTTTCCGAAGATTGTCAAATAAAGATGGGAACCATGTATTGATGACATGTGTCAAACCTCAGTGTCAAACAATGTCAAATTCCATCTTGTACAGTTTAGTATTTTTTGTGATAAGTCACATAAATTACACATTGTTATTTCGTCAGCAGTTAAGGCATATATTCAGTGAGGTTCCATGGCGTTTGCAACAGCTACGTACGCTACAGAATCCTTGTGAGGCAAGCGACTGCTACATATTAAACAGGCTAGACATTGTCGCTGACAATTATTTGAACTTATCCGTGTTGCTTTCAAACGGAAATGGTAATAACGGGAATAAAGATGAAAAGAGGTCCGAGGATGAGAATAAAAGCGTCGAAGAACCGGAGAAGGAGCGGTGGACCGGAATACCAGATCCTCCGGAGACTACTAGCCGCATTCCAACTTACGACGAGTTCGCCCGACAGAGAGATTCCAGTCGACCACCTGACAGCCACTATTACACCCCCACTGGACCAATCAAACGTTCAATAGGAACTAGGATTCAGTGTGATGCTATATTTACTTCATCACAGTTCAGTTTGATGTTAGGTTATCTACTCTAATTAAAGGGAATAAAAGAATGCAATGCATTTACTTACAAATTTCAAAGAGTAAGAGAGGCGGAGAGAATATTTTACCCCATTTCCAGTTAGTTTTCCGTTTACTCCTACATACAGAAACCCTTTTAAAAAAAAGTCATCCAACTAGAAAGAAAACGAGTTTTTTTTTTTAATAAATAAAACAAGACATTGAAATTTCAAGTTTGTTTAATAATTTAAAATTTTAGACCGAATACATTTTGTTACCTGTAGATTCTTACGAAACTGACGATAAAAAAGGTAAACAACTCACGATTGAGTATTTTGATAAATACACTTTCCATAATAATCCTACATCGAAAGACTTCACAATAATAATTATATTGCACTACAAACTAGGAGGCACTTGTGAACCTGGTGCCGCAAGTGAAAACTCACCACATGCATTTTCCATTACCAAAACCCAATAATACTTATTTACTTACATAAGATATAGACTATTTCTTACAAAAATAACTGCTTACTTATTCTTCTTTTTACATAACTAAAAAATTAGCAAATGTGGTTATATTATAGATAATAGGTATTCATGATTTTCAAGTGAAGATTTTAATTTTGAGAGATGGTAGCTTATGAAATTTCTGATATGATTACATTAAAATATTTCTTACGCTCCAATGACTTTATACTCTCCCACTCATCTTGATGTCACGTAGAGATGGAAAAATATTGAGCAATTATAATGGATAGAGAAAAATATGGCGCTCATGTATCAGTTTACGCAGTGCCGTAAAAACAATGCAACATTTCGTGAGTAGTTTCTAAGGAATTAAATTTTGATTTTCAAGTGAAAAAAATTTTATGACTGATAAATAATCAAAACATTTACACTAATAATTGAGTGCAATCATTTAAACAATACAAAAAATTGATATTGTAATTAATTAGTGTTTTTTAATAAAACTAGAATTCGTTAACACATATACAGGGCATCCCACGAGTTTCTCACATGGAGGGAAAGTATGTTAATTATTGAAGATATGATATTTTACTGAAAGAAGATATCATTGTATTTTTAATAAAAAGTAGAACTGCATTCACAGATTTTAAAAAAAACTGTGAATGCAGACTGGGAGTTAAACTCTTGAAATTTTAAAAAAAACACATGACGTATTTTATTGTAACCATCGAAAGAGTTAATCATAAGGATATTTTTTTGTAAATGCAGTTATACTTATTATTAAAAATAAAATGATGTCTTCTTTCAGTAAAATATTCTATCTTCAATATTTAATATACTTTCCCTTCGTGTGACAAACCCGTGGGACGCCCTGTATACTGAATCTCTGAATTTAATATAGCGGTACTTTTTCGCCTCTGTAAATGATCTACTTTCGCTTACACTCATGGGAAAGCATACATAAATAAAGTAAGAGTGATTTAAAAATGACGCTAACGGCCGCTGCACTGGTAACAGTGCACAAAATAGTATTTTGATTGTGAGATTTATTATTATACACAAAAAAAGAAAAATATGCATGCATAAATCGCAAATATTTGAAAACGGATTTATTTCATGATTATAAAATCCATAACAACGAGAAATGCAACAAATTGGAATAAAAGCGTTTTACTCACGGTTCATTAGCGTCACTGTTTAATACAGTTCAACAGTGCTTTTCTGTAAGAAAAAACTTGATTTTCACCTGGTAATCCTCCGAGTAATTTAAAATTAGAACACTAATAAAAAAAAACCTGGCGAATACCGTGGTGAAAATTTAGTTTGTTCTTACTGAATAGTACAACAAAACTTGATATTTATAACCTAGCAGTCAAAGCAATTGAAATAGACGTTACAAAATTAATAGTTATTTATGATATTAGTGCGGTAAGTTGGTTATTACAAACGAATAGACAAATTACCATAGTAAAGAGTTTGTAATACCAATCCACACGAATGCCATACAACGTTTTTCAACACATTTGCGAAAAAACATTATACATAATTTTTCTAATAATAAAATGGCGCGCATTTCCAAATGGCATCACGTGCGGGTGGTGAAAATTTAAACTACATCTTTCACCTCTTTTTCTTTTTGGTATTAAAGTGAAACATACGTATAGACTAAAATGTGTCCGAGGAGGTTCGATCGAAATTTAAAAAAAACGTAAAGAATACGCACGGTGTCACGAAATGGAGCGTGCGTAATGAATTTATCGCACGTTCCGCTGTACGGGCCGTAATTTTGAGTTTTCGAACTATATATACCACCTTTGTATAAATGCTTTTTTTGAGCAAGTGTGTTGAAAAATATATTTAAAACAATATTATCACTAATAAATATAAAGTAAGATGACTAAAATATTCGAACGTGGTGAGTTTAAACACTATTTTTTATTTATATACTCAGAATAACTAAATAAATAGTAGTTAGGTAAGGCTCAGCTACAAATTTTCCTTTATTATTGGTACATTCATTACATTTATATTCTTAAATGAATCTAATGATCTGAGTAAGAACGAAGTTTAATTTCAGAGTTGAATGACTTTATATAGGTACCTATTATTGACTTACACAAATAAGGACTTCGCGCATAACACACCTAATTTATTTTATATCATTTGTTCGTTATTCTGTTGAAGGTTAAAAATCCAATTGAGTCAATCAAATACACGAATGAAAAATATTTTATCAAGTAAATAAATAGTTTAACTTGATAAGCTAATAAGTTTTTTAAACAGTATATTTTCGTTAGCTCTTCCTCATACAATATTATCATGTAGGTAAGTAACACCATCTATTTAACATTTCAGCTTAATATTTCTAATCTTATTCACTGCACCACCTTCAATTTGGTAAATTACCAATGGTTATTACTAAGTTTAAAGCATTAATTGGTTGTCATAAGCACTGGTTTTGTGGTCTGTCCTTAAAATCAGTAAGTCAATGGATTTAACAAGGAAACCTTATTAGGTAATGGAATGGCTGAGAAAAAAATCTGACTGGTGAAACTTCATTTCTGAATAGGGACATACCCTGTTACATATGGACATGGATGCGCTATTGTTTATTGTTTGAGTCGTGTTTCATTGTAACTAATATTATGAACTATGGACTGTACTGTCCTGAGTATAAATTATTTATTAGGTACTTAGTATTAAAAAGGAAATAGTGATTTTTATAGTTGCAGTTATTTTTCTTGATTGTTGCGTCAAGATCCGCGGGCAGATTGTTGTATGGGCATTGAATGTATATTATGTGATGACCTTAGCATTAAATAATCAGGTCTACAGTACCTTAGAGCAGCGAAAAAATCAAACTTCTAAGCCAACGCAATCAAAAGATACTGCCGTATATACCGCAAATTTCCAAAATTTTCCAAACTTGCAAAGTAATCAAACCCTCCAGGTCATGAACTCTGAATCTTGATATTTGGTACGAAACAACGTCTTATAGTACAGATAAAGAATAAATTGCGAAAACTGTATATTTTTAGTTACATTACATATATATATTTTTAATAATTATTGTATACCTACAGGTTTGTACGGAACCCTCAGTGCGCGAGTCCAACTCGCACATGGCCAGTTTTGCTTAATTTGTTATAATATATTTGCTGTATTTAGAACGGAATTCAGAAAAAGTTTATTAGCACGTAACGCCAAATAAATTAATCTGCATTCACAAATCTGTGTGGCAGATTTGTGTGACCATGAATTTGCTTGCGAGATCAGTGCAGTGAATTGAAGTAGGACACCGGACCTAATTGTATTGATATTACTCGTAGTTACAAAACCTTCACTTTACGACTCAAAGAACAAGCGCCGTTAAAATATTTTATTGCGAGCCCATTATGAAAACGCTGATTTATCGACCGAGCCAATGTGGTACAAGAAAATCTACTTACTCCGCACTATTTGTTATTTTGTTACCTACGGACGAAGAAAAAGTTCAGAATGTGTGTAAAATCATTTTTCGATTTTTAAGAACAAAAAAAGCGCTTATTTCTCAGAGTCATCAAACGCCTCCCGTAACGCTGGTAACGCCGTTTTTATAATTATTCCTTTTTTTGAAATATCACAGTGTCCAACAGAATATTTCTGTAAGGCTAAGAACTCACGGCACGATTTCCACCTGCACCTGTAGAACACAAAAGAAAATTTCACCCTTGAGTGCGCGGTTGTATGCGGCACCTGTGGCGGTTTCGTTAGATCTTGTTTTGTTCGAGGCCTGAAAAAAACTGCGTCCCCGTGAGTTTTGGAATAAAACAGCTCTGCGGTCGCAGGCGGTGGACTTCGCAACTATATTATCACTTTTTAACGATTGCAATCGAATCATGTTAGTGGTATAATATAACGCAAGTTTCTGTATTTTTTAGGATTTCTTCCCACACTGCTTCGTAATGTGATTTGTAAAATACCGTAAATTGCAAAATACAGAACATGGTGTCAAAGGTCATAGAGCTCGACTTTTGCTAGTAGATTTCCACCCGCACCTGCAGAACGCAAAAGCAAATTACGACCATTTACGACCCCTGAGTGCGCGGTTGTATGCGGCACCCGTGGTGGTTTCGTTAGATCTTGTTTTGTTAAGTTTATGAGACCTGCAAAAATCTGCGGCGTCGTGAAATTTGAAATAAAACAGCTCTGCGGTCGCGCGCGCCGAGTGCGGGTAAAAACCGCTCCGTGAGTTCTTAGCCTAAGTGTATTGACCCGTTCAGGAACCGATTCGAGGACCTAGACTCACAATCATTGGAATAATGAGTAAGAAATAAAGTTTAAAAAGCAGAAATTTTAAATATGGAAAATAAACCTGAATGATACGACGATACATTTTAACAATGACACACGACAGACAGTTACAACATATCATTTTATCCACAGTCGAAACTGAAAACCTAATTCTCATATAAATAATAGAACAGTTGATTGCTGAAATTGAATGGGAATCGGAACACGTTTTTTGTATTATGTGTCAGTTTCACATTTGGTGTCAAAAGGTATATTCGTTTCATGGTCAGAATCGCCATCAAAATTACTTTGTATCATTAAATTATAAATAAATAATTTATATACAGAGTTGGTTCAATACTAATAAGTTTACAAATGCTAGCGTTTACATTATAAATACATTAATAAATGACACACACTATGTTTCAGTACCAATGAATACCTAATAATATTAACACTAGGTATTTAGAATAAATGTCATTACAATTGACAAAATACTTAACCTTATGAAAATAAAGTTGTTTTAAATAATAAGGCCTCAGTATCATAAGCTTTTTATACATGCTAGGCATTTATTTAGCTTAGTATATTTGGTATTATACGTGCCTTCAAACTATCACATTAAGATTATATAATATTTAATACAAAAGGTTTCCATTTCTTATTTTCAAATTCTGGTATCCTGTATAGGAAATACAATATAGTTTTAAACTACATAAAGTATTCTTATACACCGTAATTTTTTCTAATGGATTTAATAGGTATTTGTTTTTATATTGGACTGGGAGACAAATTTTTATATTCAAAAACCATTATTATAATAACCGGTTTTCTCTTAAAAGCAGTGGTCGGAGTAATTAATTACATAGTAGCAGTAAAAGTTACTTATTTATATTTTCTATACTATGCTGGTTATTCAATGATTCGAATCATTATATTTACTTTTATTTTTATAAATTATAGGAAATTTGAAGTATCAACAAATTATACTACCAGGAAGTTTAACTGATAACGCAAAATATACATTTTTACTATTTCTCATCTTTATGTTGAGTTCAGAGAGAAAAACTGTAACAATTTTAGATGTTGTGTTAAGTAAGCAGGTAAGTAGCAATAGGAATAAAGTTTAAATATTTTTTATTAATAATATTAACTGAATTGATATTTTGTAACTTACAGCGCTCTACCAAAGTTGCGAACCTTTAATTTATTTTTAATAATTTGTGCGCTTGAGTTGGAAAAGTGCGAATAAAATTATTAATGACCATTTTAGATTAACGAATGCTTAAAATATTTAAAAATAGCTAAACATTTACAATTTCAAGATTTATTACTTAAATCAGACGACAAAGATCTTTGACCTAAAATACCATGTTATTCTCTTAATATAAAACTAAGTTTTAATGATATGTTCATAGTAACTAACACGAGATGTCCTCAATTCAGGCGGAAAAAAAATTGCACCCTGTAACCTGATAATATATTTGATGCTCACTTCAAATGTTTCTGTTAGTTATATTGATATATTTCATTTTCATGCAAACACATCTTGATCTCAAGGAGTCCTCAATGTATTAATATATAGTGGAAGATATCAAGTGTATACATCTCAGATCAAATAAGATATTCGGCTACTCCTATTTTTATCTACTCAGTCTGTCAGACCTCAGTCTTCACTTAAATATCGGAAACGTTAGGTGTATAGTGGTATACGCGAAAGAGGCACTTTATTTACATTAATATTTGTAGATATACATAATATCTAAGCTATTCGCAAAATGTAGCCTAATGAAAAGATATATGATGACTTCAAAGTCCTGAGTTTCACCAGGAGCATTTCAAGCAATTTATAAGCTATAAAAGACGCGAGATAGTGGTCTTCGCAACTACATAAATTATCACTTTTTAACGATTGCAATCGAATCATGTTACTGGTATAATATAACGCAAGTTCCTGTAATTTTTGGGGAATTCTTCCCACACTGCTATGTAGTGTGATTTGTAAAATACTGTAAATTGCAAAATACAAAACATGGTGACAAAGGTCATAGAGCTCGACTTTTGCTAGTAGGGAATCCAATATGTTCCTTATCAAGATTACCAACTGATTGTAATCAATCCATACTAGAACGCATAAAGTATACATACATAATATCAGAAATATAAATGTTACTCTATCGAGTTGAATCACTTTTGCTTTACACTCTCGTTTTATTGTCTGTAGCTATTACGTATTAAATTACTTTTCGTTGTCTTCAATGTTTGATTGTTTCCAATGATTCTGATGATCGTCAACGTTCGTCACAGAGAACAGCCGCTTCTGGTCCCGAAAAGTTTCTTAAGCTCCGGCATGATGACGTTGTTGATGTAGCTGTTCTGTTTGCCCACGATGCTGTCCCGTTTGGGATTCTTCACATAGTGCTTTATGCCCGGCTTATGGATGAGGAATGCGTTGTTCAATATCATGAAATCGTAGTCCTTCACGCAGAGGATGTAGCCCTGGAAGAATTGAGTAAGAGTTAGATCAGTTTAAAGATTAGCCCATGAGCCTATGGTGGATCATATAAATAAAAGTACAATTGGTACTATTTTAAACAAGTCACTAGCTAGATACCAAAAGTAATACAAGTTGTTTTAATTCAGAAATAACAATTGTTCTTGGAACGGAACATTTTGATTTGGTTGTCTGCCCGGAAAAGGTTTTAAGTGTAGATCATTGTAACAGATTTTTTGTACCCAACTTTGCGATTTTACGAAAATAATAACGAGGCATATCACACAGCTACACCTGTTTTTTTTCGAAGTAGAAGTGGAATTCAGTTGTGAAAAGAGAAGGATAATTTTTTTCATACTAACCTGTGTCATTTTGTCCTTTTTGCCTTGCCAGCTGAGTCGATCGTCGTAGTGAGGGTCCTGATGAGTCCCGATGAATATGGGCTCCCAGTGGACGAATTTCCCATGCCTCTTACCTACATGGAAGACGTCCATTTCTAAAAAGATAACGTTACCATATTTAAATTAAATGTGGCAGAGAAAATACTATTTGTGGAGCTGGCGAACAAGACATCTAGTCAAAATACTTATTTTTTTACAGTCTGGATGTTTTGGGCCTGCTGAATTTAAATCTCAACTCATTTTCAATCAAAACCACCTTAAACAGTGTTAGAATTACTAAATTAATCAGTTAAAAAACATGCAAAAAGCTCGCTATAGGTGTGTCATTAAGTATTTTACTGTTCCTGTAAAAAATATTTTATGTAATTATGCCGTTTTGTTCGCCAGCTTCTCATTTTTTTATTATTTTTTTTCTCTAACAAGCGAGTGGACACAGTGACCTTTGCAATGGGCAGCTACAGGCGAGTGACAAAAAATTTATCATCCTGAGCTTTTATGTGCTTTGGAAGACTTGTTAAACTGTTGGCTGTGGTTGCTTTTGTGTTAGTACCTACCATCGCAATGGACCCACGTAGTGGATCATGGACCGTTTTCCCTATACCATCCATAGAAAAGGCTTATACCTCAGTAATTAAGGCTTTATTAACGAATGATGATAAAACTTAATAAGAAAAATCTAAAAGGCGATCTCTGTGTGTGTCTGTATATCCGCTTAAATAGATATAACTATATTTTCCTAAATCATACAACGGATTTTGATGTTGTTTACATCATCAATATCTGTGGGTCCCTGGTGTCTTTATATGTCTCATAATATTTTAATATAATAATATTTTTTATGATCATAAAAAATATTATTTATGTAGTTTGTACTTGACAAAGATCATTGATATTATACACCGTTTAAGAATATGTATGATAGCTGTGCACGGCTATTTCATTGTAATATGAAAGCACGCCTATGTAGATGATGCAATTACACAAGTAACATTCTTCTATTTTTCAATTCCCAGCATTTTAAATTCAAGACAATAACACAAAAGAAAGTAAATTGACAGTCTGTTGACTTGGTGCAGCTAAATGCGATATTACGGAAACGACGCAAATGCAGTTTAATTCAGTCGGCGGCAGTGGAGCACCACTGAGTGAGTTCGCGATTTTGCAAATTGGAGTTAGTAGAGTCCGCCGTCTGGGAACGGGCGGGTAACGCGCAGGTCATTGAACCATAATACGCAATTAGAATGCCCCATACGACGGCGACCATGCTGCAGACGGAATAAATAGCTTACGATAGCCAACAATTAATTACTGCAGTTACCGCCAGCTGACACCTTTTTCGGCAAAAAAAAATTCAAACCGCGATGTGTCTACTAGTAAAATGGACTAGCTACTTAGTAACAAAAAGTTTTGGACAGCTATAAAATACTCCCAAGTTTGGGCTTTACCTAATTACAAATTTACTTATGGACCTCACGTAGAATCTAAACAGGTCTTATAGCAGTATGAAGGTTTTGTAGAAATCCAAAATTATTAGCTTTAGTTATATGTAAAGTGGGAGGAAAGTAACTCGATGCTTACGGTTGGTTTCCATTGCGTTAATCCATTGTTGCCTCTGTGGTATATTGTGGCAGTCCGGGCACACGAACTTGTGAAATGGTATGGCAGTTTTGTTTTTCAACATCTTTTGCAGCTCCGTTTTCGTTGATGGCACCTGGAAATGTTTACATTATAACAAATTGAGGACAATTTTTAGACGAATTGACTTCAATGATTTTTTTTATTTCTGCGTAAAACCTAATTCCATAGACTATCTTTTAAGCTATAATGGCAATAATTAAACTTTTGGTTGTAAAAGTTTTAATCGTAACCGACTGTGGGATCTGTTTCATTTGATTTTAACAATTGTCAATTAATTTGCAACTGGGCCAATTGAGACTAGTAAAAAAAATATATGAATCACTTTGCTCAGTTCTATGACTATCATCTGGAGATCGGAATTCTCCTCTGAATAGTCATTACATCTTTAAATAGAATAACTAGTTAAAGCTTTGAAGTATGACCTATAAATATCATACTGGATTTACGAGATACTTGGAAGCTGACACAAACGGTTCTTGAGGCGTTTATGCGGAAATTCCTGTCCTAAACTGTCATGTAGATGAGGGATATTACCTGAAATCCATGGATTCAGTCATTTATATCATATGCTGTAAGATATTATTTTAAATTTGCTTTTATTTTTTAGACAATTTTAAATTTAAATTCATTAACGCTACCATTGAGTATGATTTGGATCAAATGTGTTGAATTTTAGAAAATTGCGTATCGGTCAAAAGTAGTTTACCGAATTTTAAATTGTCCACTCGATTATATGTAATATTACGACTTTTGATCAGCAATTTCTTCTGGTGGTGTGCAATAAAAGAAATTAACTGATATAGATGCGATCGAATTTAAAATCTCATATTGCGTATTCTGGTACGTAGACTTACATTAACTTTGCCGTCCACTTCGAATATGCTTATAGGGAACACTCTGGGATTCGTTGAGTTCAATGGCTTCGCGTTTCTGGCGATCATATTCAGGAAGCGAGGTACTAAGAATGGACTCGGATACAGTTCTATATCAGAAGGCAGTATGAAGTGTGTGAGGGCCGAGTCTCTGGCAACATTTCTTGCGACGTTTATCGGATACAGTAGGTTCTTCTTCTGCATGTATGTAGTGCCGGCTTTGGTTGCAAACGGTGGGGGCACCGAACAGTTGTACGGGACAGCTAGGAATTTTTCTGGCTCTGGAATCTGTGAATATTAAATATTTTTTAATTACGATATTTACTTAGCATAATAGGGTACACGAGAACCTTTAAATTAGTAAGCTTGTAAAGAATTCTTAAAGTCTTTATTCCTATTCGAGCTTTGTAAACGGTGAGCTGTTGTGTAATGAGCGGAAAGATTTTTGCTTCGTTGGATTCAGTCTGTTAAAGGTTATTTTTAGGTAATCCTATCATAGCGGTCATTGATTCAAGAATTTTTTACTTGCACATAAATCCGGTTCCTGATTTGTTATACCTTGTTTGCATAGACAAAAATGATTAAAACAAAAGGGTATCCTTTTTATATCACTGTAATATTGAAGCTTCTAAAACTTAACGTGTTTATTTGCACAAGAATTTCTCATTTATTCTGAAAACAGACACTTTATTTTATTTCACAAACAATATGAGAGGTTTGAAAAATGTCGACTAAAAAGTGGATGTGGTTGTTTATATAGCGGTAATTAACTATGTACGAATTTATTATTTTTATTTATGCGAAGATTTTATTTTTATATCGAATTATTTTTTAGATGATTTCAAATGAAAAAAATATTTGATGCTTCCTGATTTCCTTACAGCCATAATTGTGTGCTTCTGTTTAAAAATAAATACCTTTACTTAACACTTACTTTGCCCGGTATGTGTTTGTTACTGAAGAACACATGGAATGTGACAAACTGCTTGATGAGGTCGTTCCCGAGGCAGTTGCGCAGGTACCTGATGCTGTTCACAGTAGGGTTCAGGTCGTCACCAGGCGCGTGGATGGCTACGCTCACCGGAGCCATCCATCTGTGGACAAGAAGATAAGTTTTGGTAAAACAATTCTAAATAATAAATAAATAAAATAAATATTTCCAACACTCACACCAATTAGCCTAGCCCCAAAGTAAGCACTGTAAAGGCTTGTGTTATGGGATATTAGGGTAACGGATAGAATACATATATTGTACATATATAAGTATATTTATATGAAATACATATTAAACATCCATGACTGGAGTACAAATGCTCGTATTCATCACACAAACATCTGCCCCCACCGGGATTCGAACCCGGGACCTCTCGAGTCGGCGACGCCATGAAACCCGGCGTATAAACCACTCGGCCACGGAGGTCGTCAAAAAAAGAATGTAATATGGTTATAAAGATTTTGAATCAAAACAAAGTTGCCTTCTAAGAACTTGAGATATCTACAATAAAAGGAACGTTTCGAAAATTCCGGTGCCAATTTTTTGTAAAGTAGAATCATAATAAGAATCATTAAAAGTTAATTCATAGAAATTTTCATTCTCTGTACGACACATGAATTCAGTATTTATATAGAACTCATCGAATTAGATTCCTACGTAAAAGTTTAAGCTTTTAGAAAGCTAAACTCTTGAATTATTTGTTTTTATAAAGTACATATTTTTTTATCATTTGCATGATGTGTATTTCGCATGCTTGGCACGATTGAGGAAACATAACACGTCCACTGTGTCAAATCGATATGGTGCTTTTATAACTATTCCGTCGCGTGACTCTAAACAGTCGTGGGACTGTTGGCAGCCACCGGTTGAGCGCCTTCTTTACTAGTCTAATACTATTTCCTCATTCGATTTGCGGGAATAACTTTGAACTTTTATATAGGTTAATAAAGGTTGTGTGCGAGATAAGGAATGGAAAAAAAATATGTGTCAGCTCCGACGCAAGACTGGAGTTTACTCCTTAAGTTCGATAGTCTAACCAGACGCAAAAAGAGTTTATTTAACTTAAAAAAGATTGATACTGTATGAAAGGGTAAATTAACAAATTAATGAAAATAACATACATTTATTCATTTCATATACATTTATTATAACTAATCGACGAAATATTTTACATTAAACTTTTTACTATAATGATAGTAAAAAGTTTAATGTAAAATATATAAAGGAATGTTGATAAATTATGTAATTATTATTATCAGACTATTATCATTTTTTTAAATACTAATTAAATCAACAGTGTCTGCATTATTAATAACAGTGACAAGTGGTTTATGGTAACTAAAATAAGACACATGGACGTTCGTAGATACGTGGTTCACGAATCTTGAAAATACCGCATCAATGGTCGTACCATACCTCGTTGTCCCCATTGCTCTATCAAAAACAATATCTAAATTCAGTTCAGATTTTAAAAAAAATATTAATGTCAATCCGTCATCTTTGTTTGTCAAAGTTGCGGGACATAGGATGCGCACCAAAAACGTAACGAGGTCATTCATCGATAGATTTTACTCCTCACATTTTTTTCATACCGGGCCCCTTATATATGCAAATCGATTCTTAAGGAGTAAACTCCAAAAATGGTTCATGTTATGTCATTTTCTTTAATACAAGTCACAGCAAATAACCCCACTTTAGCGTATGAGTCAAAACTAGCGCAGTTTGCTGAAGTGGCATGTTTGTAACATGTGTCACTTCAGCTGCCTTCACATTTCCAGCCAGAATAACCCATTTCATTTTGCTACCCCATGGAGCCCTGGAAAATTTACTCACTATCATTAACAATACTCCATCATTAGGCAGTGATCTTCTGTAAGGTGGAGATTACTTCCCTAGATGGGCCCTTTCGGTATACCCCTATTTTCTTAAAATTTGAAAGTAAAAAACCACTCTAAGGAGTAGGTCGGGCTTTACGGATATTAACTTCATCAGCGGAATTTTTTTCTTCTATGAGAATGTTAATGTCATTAGCTTTATTTTAATTTTTTACTTATACGTTATTAACACTACTTATTAGTCCTTTAAAATCAATGCCAAATGTGTTAATCTTGTTACCTGCCGATGTACCTAAATTCCTATGCCAATGAGTACCGCGAAAAATAGTATATGCGACCGACCAAGTTAGCGATAGTGTGGCTCGCAAAGTAGGTAAATCACATTCGGGCGACTATGTTATCGATTAGGAAAATTCCTTGGCACCCCTCTTCTAGTGAATCGTTGCCGAAGAATAATGGTATCCAAACAAAAGGTGAGGCGTTTGCTGGCGGTTTTTGGGTCACAAAACCACTGTTAATTTAGGGGGAACGCCATTTTGACGTCCGTCGCAGGTAATCGTTTTTGATCCGGATAATTAAATTGCATTTTCGTTTAGATTTAATCGTTTTGAACGTTAGGAAGCTTGATAAATTGGAAACAGGTATTAGATTACTCATATTGGAATGTAACATTAATGTGAATCCGATACATACAAATATGGAACACGACAACTGAAAACTTCCTTGTGAAAATAATAAACCTATCGCAAGACAATATTGTTTGGTAATTAAAATAATTATTTGTATTTGACCATTCTTGGCCTTGTCCAAATACAAGCATTTTGTAAAAAGATAATAGTTGGTTTGGTGTCCTCAAAACTGATGAATGAAAAATCTTATTAAATTTTGATTCATTTTTATTCTACACCTCATGTTTGATTTCTGTGAACCTTAAGCGCTAAATTTGGAAGGATTTTTATATTTATTATCAAATAATTAAATTTTTAAAATTGAGGTTCACTGGAGACTCAGAGCCGTCATTAACTCTTAAATCTGATCAAAGTCAGTGCTGTCACTTGCAGAAAAAAAGCAACCCGTGTCTTTAAGAAACATCAAATCCAAGGCCGCAGGTTTTTTTAAAATAATAACTTGGTGAAAGATACATTGCTTAGCTCTGACTAATCAATCAGTATTCTCAATAAGGTCTTCAATGCAAAAAGGTTAGATGCAATGCGTTATGTAAGAAGCCTTTAAATGTTAGTGTGTTACAGAGGAAACAATGAGAATTGTAAAAGCGATCACTCGAAGAACTATTACATGGTAATTATTACTAGAAAAAAATCCACGCGGACTAGGCAGCAAACTTTTGCAGATTATGCTACCGCGGCCCTGCTCTGATGGCCGTGTCGAATTCTTTCTACGGATACGGATAGTAACGGGTGCTGGTTCGAGTCCCGTCTGCTGCCTGGTCCGCGTGGTATTTTTTCTAGTAATATTTTCTCTAGATTTAAACATCGTGCAGTTACATGCTTAAAAATAAAAATTAGAACTAGAACATGGTATTCAGTAATGTATAAAAATTACAGGTATGCAATAATGTAATTGCAATTGCAACATCTTAACTTATATCATAAACACTAAAGTAGTTTTTTTGTGTTTATTACGCTTTCGCGCCTATAAACCACTAAATCAATTATGCTGCTTTTGATATAGAGATAGACAGGACCCTGGAGATTTATTTGAGTCGTAGACGCCCTAGGTTACATTTCTTTCATTCGTTAGTTTGACGGGAGTAATGGGGTTATGAAATTTTGTAAAGAAAACCAATTAAACCAATGTAGTCGAAGCCGCGGGCACCCGCAAAAAAATATAATAGAAAGAGGCAAGCCGCCATGCGCAATCGCAACGCATCCCACAGTGTATGTAAGTAGGTACGCGATGTTATTTAAATGGAGATTTCTATTCAACATCACATGCGCAAATGTGATGTTGAATTCTTCGATTGCCTTGGTGAGGTATTTGTAACTTCTTGGTAAAGTGCTACTATGGTAGCACCACTGAATAAATAAAATAGTACCTTCTTACTTTGATATGACTGACTGCTGTTCAAGTGGAGAGGTGTAATTTTTTTGTATGCGAGGGTTTTCCTTTTAAAAAATATTTGGTATATTCAAATTCATGTAATTAAAAGTGAAGAAATTTTTTGGCTCATTATGTATGTAAATAGCTTTTGAAACATAACGAAATACTGACTGACTTCCTCAAGTGGAGAAGTAACCTCTACTTTAAGCGGCAATTCAACAAATAATGCAAATACATATAAATTTAATCCAACGCAACCGTAGGCAAACTGATAAAAGGTAAGTGCTAACAAGACGTTGGGCAAGTTCGAAAAAGTCCAATGCAAGAGCCCAATATAGACGAGCTTTCTGGAGATGGCTATCCATACGGTTTATGCGTAACGTATCAGTTTTTATAGACGACGCGGCGACGTGAGACAAATGTTGGCGAACTACAGTGAGTGCCGACAAGCAACGTCAAATGAGGTATATACTCATCAAATTAGACAAGCTACACCGAGCGAGGCTAGAAAAATATGCTGTCTTTACGTTGGTATTGGCCTTCGCTTGACCAACATGTATAGGCGGCTTTATAGAAGATCACAGTGAAAGAACAGCTACCTGGTGGTGTTGTATTTGGTGTTTACACTGCTGATTGCGTAGTATTTCTGACGATGATTAAGGTTTCCAGAATTCCAAGGGTTAGGGAATGGTTTCAGGTTAGGTCACGCGCGTGTGATTTTATTAGGTATCGGCATATAATAGGCTATAGTTGTAGCTTACCATTAGAGGGGTATATGTTGTTATATATACCTATATATTGGTAACAGCCAAGCTTTAAAATAAAAAATATAACACTGGTTGGAATCACTTTGCTTTTTTCCCAGAAATGAGATTGGTATCTACTCTGGTTTTGTTATGCTATGAATTGAATTTTTTGCAGGCCTTGACTATTGTTAATGGTTCTAATTATCTTGGATAATTCTCGAGTAGCACGACTATTAATTCCCCATGAAACAGAAGTTATAAAGTTAAACAAAGAAATTTTTACGAAGTAAATATAGGCATTTTTAAAGAGAAGTAATTGGTATGCCATTTAAAAATTTTGGTTAGCAGAAAAAGCAGCCCAAAATGTATTTGGCCAGCATACAAAGATTTTGTTAGCAGTAATAAAAATCAGGCTGCAATTTTTGTTCTGTAAACAATCATGATAATGGTCGGTAATT